ATGCCAGCTTCAATGAGTCTTGAACGAAGAATCATTCTCAGAGCTTTTGGAGCTGAGTTGGTTCTTACTGATCCAGCTAAGGGCATGAAGGGTGCTGTGCAGAAGGCTGAGGAGATTTTAGCTAAGACACCAGATGCATACATGCTCCAGCAGTTTGAAAATCCTTCCAATCCAAAGGTACTTTCTTAATTTACCTTTTAGCAATGCAGTTGTTGGTTGGAAATGTATAATAAACTAATATCTGACAATGTTATGTAGATACATTATGAGACAACTGGACCAGAGGTATGGAAAGGCATAGATGGAAAAATTGATGCATTTGTTTCTGGGATAGGTACTGGTGGTACCATAACAGGTGCAGGCAAATATCTTAAAGAGCAGAACCCCAATATAAAGGTAATGAGCTCTTATTGTGGATGTTAATTTGCTATAGGATTTATTAATGTGAATCTTATTCAGTCGAAGAAATAATTTGCTATAAGATTTGTTGACTTGTATCTTATGCAGTCTAAGAAATTAGAATAAGAACTTGAATCTGTACCATTTTGGTCATCATTCACCATCAATATTCTCATTGGTTTTCCATTTTTCATGGTAGCTATATGGAGTGGAACCAGTTGAAAGTCCTGCTCTCTCTGGAGCAAAGCCTGGTGAGTTTAAGTTGTAATCTTTACATGGCCATGGATGATGTGCTCATCCTGGTTTTTGCCACAGGTTCCTAAAGACATGTGTTTCACTGTGCATGCATCTTGTTTCCTTAAAGCAAGATCTTGTTTTGCCAAATTATTTTCATTATTATGTGGAGCACAGTCCTTGACTTTGCTTTAAAAATTTGTGATTTTTTGTGTATATATGCCGATCTAAGGTTTTTTCTCCAACATTATCAAACCTTTGCAGTTGATTACTTGGTTGATCTAGAATAGTTCCTTTATAATCAGCCTTCTTAAGCATACACGTTCCTTTTACACTGTCCCATTTTTTTCAATAATGTCTTGTTTTCCATGGTGTAATATTTTCCTTTAATGACATTCACTCTGGTCTCCTTGTGTCTAGTTATTTATTTGTTATGAGTTTAAGAATCTTTTGGTTTGCAAAATTACTAAATCAATTCGATTGTATTAATGTGAAGGTCCACATAAGATCCAAGGAATTGGTGCTGGTTTTATCCCTGGTGTTCTGGAAGTTGGTCTTATTGATGAAGTTGTTCAGGTGAGGAGAAAGTGTATTTAATTTATCGCAATGCTTTTAAAAGCCAATTCTGGATTAACTTTGTTTTGTTGTTATCTGAACAAGTCTTCTTCGTGGGTATGATGATATATATGAAAAGGATTAGCTGGTTATTTTAGTGTTTTGTGAATTTTACAAAGTTTTAGTAAAATTGTAATGGCCTCAAAATTTCCCTATTTTTTAATTGCCAGTTATTTAAACTTGCAGATATCAAGTGATGAAGCAATTGAAACTGCAAAGCTTCTCGCACTGAAGGAAGGCTTGCTTGTATGTTCCCAACCTTTCAAATCTCTGAGATTGGAATTTAAAACCTATACTCTTTTGCTATTTTATTTGAATTTCTGTCATCCAATTGTACTCTGCCCTCCTGTCATGCTGACTTTAGAAGCTTCTTTTGCAGGTGGGAATATCATCTGGTGCTGCCGCAGCAGCTGCTATTAAAATTGCGAAGAGACCTGAAAATGCTGGAAAACTCATTGTTGTAAGTTTTATTTCTCAGCTCTTGATTTATGAAACTTTCTATTGGACCAGTTTTTGAATCTATTTGAAGGCTAAGGTGTTTGTTCTTATTTTGAATATTCTTGCCTTACCTACCATGAGCATATTATATAGACAAATTTGAACCATGAGCATGAGCATAACCTTGAAAATCAACCTTGCTTGCCTTATGTACATTGTTAGGAGGGGGGGCCTTTGTCTAACTAACCTTGAAAATTAACCTTGTTTGCCTTATCTAACAACCATGAGCACATTACTTCTAATTTGAAGTGTTTTTTAGGTTGGAGTGACTGATTAGATTGATTGAGCAATGGAGGACAATAGAATAGGATCCATTTGAAGCAATAATCAATGGGATAATACATATCTATACCTGTGGAGTTTTTGTATCAAGAACAGCATGGACTATCTTTCATTCATTTATTCAAAATTTACATCACACTAAAATCAGTTCCATTCATAAATATCTGCAGGTGATTTTCCCAAGCTTTGGAGAAAGGTATCTGTCGTCAGTGCTCTTTGAATCGGTCAGGAAAGAGGCCGAAAACATGACCTTTGAGCCATGAGCTAATTTTCTTCTTTGCAAGTAGTTCTGGTTTTATAGACAACATGGTTTAGATCTGAGAATGAATAAATTTATTGAGTTACTTTGATCTGTAGCTCAAGTTCGGAATTTACTTATAGGATAGCCATTCTGGTACTGAAAATGAACCATTTACAAATTTTAAGGATCTGTACTTTTTGTGTCAATGTTTGCAAATCAATACCCCAATTTTTATTTGAAACATTTACATACTTCCAACACCTAGCTATTCCTAAGCATAGCTTTATTAGTTGGCTGGCCATTCTCAACCGACTAACCACAAGAGCTAGGCAAAAGCAATGGACGCCTACAATTGTTGACACTTGCATCTTGTGCAATAGTAGTTCAAAGACAAATGAACACTTCTTTTTTAAGTGCAATTTTACCAGTAATATATGAGAACAGCTTTGTTATATAACTGGTATACCTTTAACTGATTCTTGGCAAAGCCTAATGCATTGGCTGGGTAAGAAGATTCGAAGTCTTTATATGACACCCTAATCAAGCTAACATGGAATGCTTCTATCTACCATTTGTGGATGGATTGGAATTGGAAGTTTCACTTGTATGTTTTCAAGTCAGAGGGTGCAGTTATTTATGATATCCAAATTGATGTAAGGAGCAAAATTCTAGGTTTTGTTTAGCCAAAATCCTTGCTATTGCCCACGACTATTGCATGCAATTGAGGGCTTGAAGCAATGGTAGTGTGAAGTTAAGTTTGTGCATATTGGTTATTTGTATATGGAGAAATGATTTTGTACAATTTTTTTATTTTAATTTTTTGTTGTGTCATTTAAATAATTAGTTCTTTTAATTTATGTAAATTTGTGATATTGAATGCATCTACTCATTTAATGATATGTAGAAGTTGTATTAAAGATGATATAAAAAGATTCTCTCTATAGCATTACCTCCATATATTCTGTTTTGGATATTTTTCTGGTGGCAA